ATTGTTCTGTTTCTGACGGTGGTGGAGGCTTTGATTATAGATTAGGAATGGCTATTCCTGACAAGTGGATTGAGGTAGGAAGATTATTGTTCATGTTTTATGTACTCTTTTTATTGTAGGGGGTCCCTTTTATGTGACTTAGTTTTAAATTTTGCATTGCTATAGCAATGGCAGAGCTTCTTACGTAGGTTCGATCTCTGCCGGCCAAAGACACCCCTTGTAGTAAATGGTGACTGATGCACGTTAAATCTGCCGAGTCTCAAAGTCATAGCAAATCAATACCTCTGGGGGTACTGAATTGGAGATTGATCGCTCTCTGATTCAGGTCAAAATTACGATCTATGGATGTATGAATGGGTCCACCCCATAAACGGGTGTGGCAGAAGTCGAATTCTTGGCCATTGATGGCGCCACTGGAAAAACAAGAACAATCAAATAAGAACACCCCCTCTGTCTTAATGGCATATGTCAACAGAGCTTCTTACAGTATGATAATATTTATTCTATGGTGTAGTCATTACTATATTATGTAATTTAAATAGTAAAATGTGTTTTAATAGTTTTGTTTTTGGAAGTAAAACAAAATTACTTCGCTATTTTATATTAAAAATGTTAACACGTCTGTTCAACTTTAACTGTATACAGTCAAACTTGCGTAAAATGAGCCATGATTTAATGAAAATCTGGATTTATCAAAGAAGTTGAAAATGCTTATTTGATATAATTTTAAGTGTGTTGAAGCATAGCTCACTTTTAACTAGCAAACCTTGGTTTTAATATTATGATTGAAAATTTTTTTACTACATTTTATCTCTCCAGCTCAGGTAATTCCTCTTTGGGGAAAAAAATACCTTTTTGATGTATTTCAGATCAAGGAATTCTTTTTTGTTGTCGATAATGTTTTTAGAGTTGCAAGACTAATCTTAAGAACAGTAACAAAAAGACAGTTCAAAGCAAAATAACTAAATTCGTATGCAGTAAACAGAAATAAAAAATAATTGTCCGCTGTAAATTTATAATATAAGTATATATGAACTTTAATGTTTTTTTTCTTCCATATACTCTTTTTGTATGAGTATTCTATTGTAAGGAGTAAATGCTTTGGTCCCTTTGCGCTCATTATAAATGAGTTTGACTGTATTTTCCATTCATACTTAGTTCATTACATAATTGGATCTATACTTGTAAAGTTTTACTCAAATCCACCATATTTTAATCAGTTGTCTGTATTTTAATTGACATTGTCTTACCTTTTTTAGTAGCTCTATTTTAAGTAAGCATCATTGGTAGTTTTAACTGATTTATTACTATTTTTTATCAGATTTTATTTGCTTTTGTATGTTTTTATCTATGCACTGTTTTAATATTAATTACCGTTTTATCTGATTTTATTTATGTGTTTTACAATCAAAAATTTTACTTAAATACTTTAAACTATGAATGTTTTAAAACCATGTGTTTGACGCAGCCTGTTCTTAGTTTAACCTTTTGCTTAAATCTTGCATTCAAATCAAATTACGTCAAATATGTCATATTGTTTGAGTGTACCTNAATATTGTTTGAGTGCACCTTTATTATTTTTAAAGTTTGTTGAGAAAGATCAATTTTAAATCAATATGTATAACAATCTTATTTTACTGTGTTATTTGATTAAAACTATTTAAATGAATGATTATAATTTTCTCTGTGCTTTTCATTAAATCTTGAACAACTTAAATAAGAAATATTGTTCATAATCGATTAATGAATAAAACTATTTAGAATAAATAATTGCTGTTTTTGTAGTATTCATAGCTTCTTAAAAGAAGAGGAGGAATGAATATTGTCAGTCTTTGACTTATCTATTAATGAATAAATCTTTTTAAAATAAATAATTATAGTTTTGTTTATTTAATACTATGTTCTTTATAGCTTCTTAAAGAACAACAAGATGAGGAATGGAATATGGGGAATATTGTTCATACTTTGACTAATCGTAGATGGATGGAATCAACGGTTGCCTATGCTGAGTCACATGATCAGGTAATAAATATGAAAGATTTTCTAACTATTTTTTTTTTTTTTTTTTAAATCTATTAACAGAAGTTTGATACTAAGAAAATGTGTGTAAAAATCTTAGTGATTATAAGGTCATTTATATTGAAATTTTATTGAATAAAGCAAATATAAAAATCCAAGTATTTAGAATTAATATTTTCGAGTTAGAGAAATTAAGATGTAAAAAATAAATATATATTATTTTAAAGTAGCAAAAAAATCTATTTAAAAAAAAAAAAAACTTTTTTCTTCCTTGAATTAAATGCTTCAGATTTTTCTAAATTTGTTGAATGAAAATAAATGTAGGTTTTTTAAGGTTCAATCTTTATTAGGTTATGAAACACGATGGTTCAATGGTTATGACATTGAACTGTCACTGTGTAGAACAGAGATTCAATTCTTTGTTGCAGTTTGGAGCCCGTCCAGCTTGTCTAGTTGTGCAGTACTGACCACAACAACATTACAATAGTTGTGGTATTTTTCACAAAATTGTTCAACTCTAACTTCCATTACTCTCTGGGCTACTGCAGGATTGAGAATTGCTTTACTTTACTTTTTTTATTATGTTGTTGTGTAATAATTGATAAATAATTCTCGTACTTGTAGCAGATTAAACAAAATTTATTAATTGTTTGATTAACTATATACCATCATTTCAGTTAAATGTTACATGGATCACAAAAAAAAAATTAGTTAGATAATACCAAAAATTAGTACAGTCATCAGGATGATCGAGTGGTCATTTTTGTGGTAGACTTACTGTCTTTTTCCTTGTTGTTGGTATTAACAGATGATTAAAAAATTTTATATAAAAATGAATATATATGTAGGAGTTTGTGGAGCAAGAGAGGAAAAAAAGACAATAGTTTAATAATGAAACTTAACATTTAATTAAAAAAAAGGAAATAAGTTTAACAGCGATATCATGACTGGTGAGAGCTGTCTACTCGCAGAAGTGCTGGATCAAGAATGAATGCTAAATTAGATTGATCAATAGAAAAGAGTGTTAAGTTCGTTTAATTTTGGGGACTTTTCCCGTCTAGGTTCTGTGAATAACGGGGCTTTTCCCTTCTGGCCTGGCTGGCGCCTTTCAATGAGGAAGTTCGTGGTTTTGAGGATGATGCAATACATCCAACTATTACATTTCTTACATATATTTATTTACGATTAAGCTAATTTATTAAAGAATTTTAAAATAAGTTAGTCAAACATTTCATAGCACCTATATGACTCTTTAGAAGTTTCACTCCCGATCTCCCAGCAGCCGCTGTTCTAAAAAATCNCTGAAATAATTCTGACATCGGCATCTTTTGATCTTTTCATCTGGACCACACAGGTTATGAGACCCCTCAAGTTGAAATGACTTCTCTCAATGCTTCTTCCCCATTGAAAATTTCTTTAATTTTCTTATCAATTTGAAGACTGTATTTAACACAACTGGGGTAAAAAAAAGAGAACAGAAGTATAATCTTTGAGGTGTTTTTATAAATGAAACATTTATTTAGACGCTTGATAGCTGATCAATTGTGAATAATCATCTCCATAGATCCTCATGACTTACAGGTATGCATTACTTTTTTTTCTGTGAATCATGGGAGGTTTATTTTCCAAGAAGGTATTAACCATGTTCCCTATCAAATGATAAGTAGGTGTAAGGGGATGTGAACCTAATAATTGAACGGACTGAGGGCAGTACTCTCCTATTTGGTATCATATGTCTAACTTGAGTATCTATGCTAATAGGAAAATTATATTTATTTATCTGTAGCTACATCCAGAATTATGTATTTATATCAAACTTCTTTATATATTCTTTTTTATCTTTCTTATTGTTTAAATAAATATTCTTGTAGATATTTATAGTATCCTTGTAGATATTATTTAATTTTTTTTACATCTTTGAGAATATTCTAAAAACGATTTACGGTGTTAAATTTCGTTATTAGGGTACCCTTCCCGTAAACGGACAACTCTCGCAAACGGACAAATTTTTTGGTCCCATGAATATCCGCTTAACGGAGGTTTCACTGTATTTGAGGAAGAAACTTTTTGACAGATTTTATCCCCATCTTTCATCCTTACTTAGTGACCCTATACATCACAATCTCATCTAGTTCATCAAAACAATAGGACTGTATTCATTAATATAAGTAAAAGTGCTTTTACCTAGTGACTGCCGCAGTATAGCCACCTCTGGCTCTTGTACCAATAAACTTTAACCAACCAACCACCATAATTTAATCAATTGTCTGTATTTTAATTGACATTGTCTTACCTTTTTTAGTATCTCTATTTTAAGTAAGCATAATTGGTAGTTTTAACTGATTTTTCACTATTTTTTATCAGATTTTATTTGCTTTTGTATGTTTTTATCTATGCACTGCACTGTTTTAATATTAATTACCGTTTTATCTGATTTTATTTATGTGTTTTACAATCAAAAATTTTACTTAAGTACTTTCAACTCTGAACGTTTTGAAACTATGTGTTTGACGCAGCCTGTTCTTTTTTTTAACCTTTTGCTATTAAATCTTGCATTCAAATCAAATTATGTCAAATATGTAATATTGTTTGAGTGCACCTTTATTATTTTTTAAGTTTGTTGAGAAAGATCAATTTTAAATTAATGTATATAGCAATCTTATTTTATTGTGTTATTTGATTAAAACTATTTAAATGAATGATTATAATTTTCTTTATGCTCTTCATAGCATCTTGAACAACTGAATGAGAAATATTGTTCATAATTGAGTAATGAATAAAACTATTTAGAATAAATAATTGCAGTTTTTATAGTGTTCTTCATAGCTTCTTAAAAGAAGAGGAGGAATGGAATACAGGGAATATTTATTGACTAATCTATTAATGAATAAATCTTTTTAAAATAAATAAATATAGTTTTGTTTATTTAATATTGATGTTCTTTATAGCTTCTTAAAGAACAACAAGATGAGGAATGGAATATGGGGAATATTGTTCATACTTTGACTAATCGTAGATGGATGGAATCAACGGTTGCCTATGCTGAGTCACATGATCAGGTAACAAATATTAAAGATTTTCCTGCTCTGTTTTTTTTTTTTTTTTTTAAATCTATTAAGTAGAAGTTTGATACTAAGAAAATGTGTGTAAAAATCTTACTGATTATAAGGTCATTTATATTGAAATTTTATTGAATAAAACAAATATAAAAATCCAAGTATTTAGTATTTATATTTTTGAGTTAGAGAAATTAAGATGTAAAAGAAATATATATAAAATATTTTAAAGTAGCAAAAAAAATCCTTTTTTTAAAAAAAAAAAAATTTTTTTTGAATAAAATCCTGTAGATTTTTTTAAATTTATTTGTTGAATGAAAATGTCAAGCATTCAGGGTTTTTTAATGTTCAACCTTTATTAGGTTATGAGACACGATGGTTCAATGGTTATGGCGTTGAACTGTCACTGTGTAGAACAAAGGTTCATTCCTTTGTTGCAGTTTGAAGCCCATCCAGCTTGTCTAGTTGTGCAGTACTGACCACAATAACATTGCAGCCGTCATGTTATTTTTTCACAAAATTGTTCAACTCTAACTTCCATTACTCCCTGGGCTATTGCAGGATTGCTTTACTGTACTTTTTTTATTATGTTGTTGAAGGAAACTTATTTTTGATATCTAAATTTAATAATTGATAAATAATTTTTGTACTTGTAGGCAGATTAAACAAAATTTATTCATAGTTTGATTAACTTTATAGCATCATTTCAGTTAAATGTTGCATAAATCACACAAAAAAATTAGTTGGATAACACCAAAAATTAGTAAAGTCATCAGGATGGTCGAGCGGTCATTTTTGAAGTAGGCTTACTGTCTTTTTCCTTGGTGTTAGTATTAACAGAGGATTAAAAAATTTTATATAAAAATGATATATATGTAGGAGTTTGTGGAGCAAGAGAGGAAAAAAAGACAATAGTTTAATAATGTAATTTAACATTTAATAAGAAAAAGAAAATAAGTTTAACAGCGATATCATGACCGGTGAGAGCTGTCTACTCGCAGCTGTGCTGGATCAAGAATGAATACTAAATTAGATTGTTCAATCGAAAAGAGTTAAGTTTGTTTAATTCTCGGGACTTTTCCCGTCTAGGGTCTGTGGATAACGGGGCTTTTCCCTTCTGGCCTGGCTGGCGCCTTTCAATGAGGAAGTTCGTGGTTTTTAGGATGATGCAATACGTCCAACTATTACATTTCTTACATATATTTATTTACGATTAAGCTAATTTATTAAAGAATTTTAAAATAAGTCAGTCAAACATTTCTTAGCCATTATATGACACTTTAGAAGTTTCTCTCCCGATCTCCCAGCAGCCTCTGTTCTAAAAAATCACCTTTTCTCAACTATGATGTTTTGTCTCTAGTTTGATAACTAATCTTCCATCTTTTCGCAACCAAGTTCTGAATTGGCGTGAAGTTGTGAATAATATCTTACTAAGCATTTGTAACTTTAAAATTTGAAATAAGACATTTTTGTACATAATGATAACAAAAAAAACTTTTAAATAAATTGTTTCTTACCATAAATATGAAAAAAAAGTGGTACAAAAGACAACTAATGGCTATCAATTTTTTTTGCTATCGTTTAATAATAGCTGCTTGTAGGTTTATTTATTTGTTGGTTGTCAAACTGTTAAATTGTTGCATTATTTAGAAAATTAAATTATATTAATTAATTTTCGTTTCGCTATGTTGAAATGGCCTTGATCGGTGAGCTGTAGAATCAGAGTTTTGAGAACACATATCGTTATATCGCATGTTCCTTTTCGCACCTCTTAGCTTTTTTTTCTCTTTGTCGCGACTTTTCTTGTATATTATTTTCAGTGGGACTAACTTCGTGATCGCCGATGTTACCTTGTTCTGAAGGCAATCTATTATTGAAAAGAATATATAAAGAAGAGTTTCTTCATTAATTAGATAAGTTTTTT